TGCAAGTATAACTCCTGAATAGAGGCTATTCCCCTGGATAGCCTCATTCCACATAAAGCTTTTGACTGAAAAAAATTACTTCATTCTTACCTCATAGTTAAAAATTGTTACCATTATATGCGGTGTATGACATATAATCACAGGGATAATGTACGTGAAAGCATTCCTGCATGTCATTACCAGTACATTGGTGATAGAAGCTTGAAATACGTGTGAGTAAGATATTTTACTCACATATTTATGATTGCTGAAAAAAAAAGACCATTTAAAGGCTTGAAAAGTGTGTTAGGTTCATGTGAGGTAATATGTCTTTGTTAGATAGCTTTATGAGATATCTAGAAAAACTGAAATATTGGAAAACAGGGGAGGGCACTGAAATCTCTGCATGGTGATGTATACATGTAAGTGCTGCGGGGTTCGAAGCTATGTGTCATGCATGCAGTCATTGGAATAGGATTTCCTCGTTGTTGAAAAGTGCGGGGTGCATTCACAATTAAGCTTTAATACTAGGTAGAGCGATCCAAGACTGCAAGGACTCTTGCTTTGATGCAGTCAGGTAAACTGAATGGCTCCCCTTCTCTTGTTTCCAGTGTACTCATTTTATCACCAGGTTTTCTGTTTTCTATTCATTGTCAAGAGGAGTGTTCATCTTTTCATTTGATTGCATTCAGAACAAATCCCAGTAGATTCATTGTGCACGCACCCTATGTTATATGCCTCTGCAGGCCCGTAGCTGAATACAGTCAGCCTAACAGGCCTACTTCTGGCATTGAATAGAATACAGAAAAGCTTGTGATTATTCGGACTTGTTGGAAACGAGGAGGCATGTTAATCTGGTAAACTGATTGCATTCAGCTAGGTTCCCTGCAAAGTTGGCTCGATTTCTGTAGAATGATAGTTTCATTGGGAGTGAGCCCACAGTGTCCAGATTCAAGAGTCTACATTTTGATGACTTTGAATGCTGTTTTATGCACCCTTTCTTTGACTTCTTCCACTAATGACTTCCTCATTTTTATGTTTTTGTTTTCTCTCTCTCTCTCTCTCCAGGATCAGAGTTCCCAGATGCCCCCTCATTACTCGATGCCATCTATGAGCTAGAAGAAAAAGAAAGAGAAGAAAGAAAGAGACAAGAGATGAGAGAATTAGAATTGAATGAAAATTCAGCAGCCTCATCGCTCACTTTACCCCAGGACGAGCCTAACACCGAGCCTCAAGATGAGCAGCAACCAGGAGCAGCAGCAGCAGCGCCATCTAGGGAACTGCCAGAGGAGTATCAGACTCTGAGGGAGGAGAATAGAAAACTGAAAGAAGAGAGAATATGCAAAATATGTCTTGACGATGAAGTTTCCGTTCTCTTGCTTCCATGTGCGCATTTAGTTGCATGTGCCCATTGTGCCCCTGCGTTACGACGCTGCCCTATATGCAGAGGAGTCATAGAAGGGACAGTTAGGACGTATATTCCATGATAAGAAATGTTCTCCTTAGCCATACCAAAGGTTGTTTATGTTTGAATCTATTTATGAGTTTGATATTTAAATATCATATTCGGTACAAGTTATATATTCTTAGGAAGTCACTTTTGTTATTTATTTATTTATTTATTTATTTATTTATTTATTTATTTTGTTTAGAGTTTATGAATGAAATTGATAAAGATAAGTTGTTCAAGTAAAACCCTTAAAGGATTTTGATATCCTAGGTTGAACTAATTTTTTGTCAGAAGTGGGATATCAGAAACATTTCTATTTTTTTTTATATAAGCCTTTATTAGCTCCCATGAGGTACTTGTGATTTGCATAACATATCAGTTCTATATAGATGAAAAATTACTTTTGAAGTTCATCAGTCTTAGCAATGTTTTTTACCTCTTTTATGTTCAAGAAGAGACAATGTCTAGTCCTGAGACAGTGTGTATGTAATTCTGTTAATCATACAAGCATCTTTATGGCATTTCAACTTCTGTTGTCAGGAAGAAGAATGATACGCCACTGCTCAAAGTGACTGTAAACAAACAGTTTTTTTTTTAATCCTTTACAATTTTACTATATTGAGGCCAGTTATAAAATTTGGTGCTTCATGGCCCAGATCATAATTATAGCAGTAGTAACTTAATATTACTGTACATAATAAATAAAAGTTCATTATACAGTCTGAAATATTAATGTAAAGGGATATTACTTTTTAAGCTTACACATGATGAGTTAGATTTTCATTTTGGTAGTTTTTTGTTTCGTAAGTGAAATTAACAATCAACTTGTTTTGTCAAAGTCATCGCCCATGTTCACAGCCAGTTGTTCTATTGTGGCACATCCCACTTGAAAACATGGCGAGATTTAGTTGCTCTGCCATTGCTGGGAGGAGGTGCATGGGAGACGGGAATCCATTATTATGCACGCCAACTGGCTGTGAATGCGGCCATTTTACAGGTTTATTTTCTGCAAATTATCTCTACTCTAATTAATTAATAAATCTTTGTTTGGAGTGTGATGAACCTTTTTTGTTTTGCTTGCATACCCAACACATGACAGCAGTTTCTGTCAATATTATGTGCATTTTTGATTAAAACCTTAGGGTGCATTCAGAACATAATCTGTAAACTGACTGATCTGCCCACTAAATATGGCAAACCTGGGCCCCGTAACTACAAAGCATCGTGCATTGCGACTGATTGCAAGCATCTCGATTCCATAACTCACCCATACTAGCTATAGCCCCATATAATACACTGTAGCCTCTATGTGAAATCGCTATTCACAATACGCGATGCTTTTGAGTTACAGGGCCCTGACTTAAATGCAATCAGCTAAATCCCCTGATGGTTTTTCCTACCTCCACACATGCCATTAAACCCAATAAATCTGGGCTTGGAGGTTTAAATACTAGGCCCCTGCAACCATGGCACATGTGGAGGCTGGGAGACCGTCGGGGGGATTAGCAGTATCGCTTCAAAGTGGGTCAGCCATAATTAATCGCCAGATCTTTAAATCCCCAGATCAACTTGTTCTGAATGTGCTCTAAGTATGCAGCCAGGTTCACTTTTGAGTTAAGGTCCTTAGACTAAGCATTAAAAAGGCGCTTTTAAATGTTGAGAAAAATTGTGACTAAGTCTCGTTTGCAACATGAAAAATGCTATTTAGATTATGGACTTAGTTGAACCAATAAAGGCTTTGTATTATCTGAGTATGCCTTTTTTTTTCATAGAAAAGAAAAATTCTATAAGTGTTATTCACACAATGGTTTTGTGATGGCATTCTGTGATTTATCCCAACTGTAATTCAATGATTGGATTTACTAATGAAATATTTATGTTGGTTTTCCTTTATATTCCCTATCCATTGACTTCTTTGAAGGCATCTGATATGTGTTTTTTAATTATGAAAAGAACACTATCATTGTCCAAAATTCCTTTCCATGGGAGTATGCACACGATGTATCAGCCTTGACCAATAAAATTGAGATTGTGGACTTCTCAAATTATATTCAAAATTATTGAACTTGTTGCCACCAAAAGATCACTGAAAAGAAATCTCTTTATTAATTTTCATCTATACACAAACAGTCTCCTCAAGGAAAATTCCACAGATATGAGGCTGTCATGCTGGACTCAAACTTCATTTAATTCTGTTGGGAACAAGGGGTCCATGTACAACCCACTGTTTTCTTTAATTTTTTAATTTATTTCAAGGTGTCTCCAGAGCGAAAATTATACGTCAGTCACAAGGGGAGTTTATTTTACATGATTTTAATGTTAGGCGACACCTGTGGCTTAAATGGGCCTATTTAAAAAAAAAATGGGGGTAGGGCGTGTTCTCATTCTTCATCACGGGGTTGCTCGGGGACCTTTTGTTCCCACTAGACCTTTCTGCGTCAGTTTCTATTGCTGTAGATCAACTGCAGTCAGTTATCTCAACAAACACACTATAGCACAGCGCCGTGATTCAATTTCCATGTATTGCTGTAGTTGAGAAATTGTTACTCCTCCCAAGTAACACAATTAAATTAATGTGACCTAACCATTTATCCTATTGCAGTTGTTGAGACAACGACCTATTTATTTCTGATTTAAACTAAATGTCGAGTTCGGTCTTGCTATGAGACCTTCACTGTCTACATTAATATAAGGCCCACATTTNGAAATAAATAGTTCGTTGTTTCAACACAATTAAATTAATGTGACCTAACCATTTATCCTATTGCAGTTGTTGAAACAACGAACTATTTATTTCTGATTCAAACTAAATGTCGGGTTCGGTCTTTTTGCTATGAGACCTTCACTGTCTACATTAATATAAGGCCCACATTCACACGTATACCGGTACGTATACATGGTATAAAATGTGCATGGTGTCAGATTTACATTTAATTATATATACCTTATTACCCATGAATGGACCACACTAAAATGGTGGATATAAATGGTACATCAATTTTCAACGCCTTCTCAAACACACAGAGAGAGAGAGAGAGAGAGAGAGAGAGAGAGAGAATTTTCATATGTGTGTGTGTGTGTGCATGTGTGTGTGTGCTGAGAGCGAAAGAAGTGATGCTCCAATATGTGTATGTTCCCAGAGAGAGAGAGAGAGAGAGAGAGAGAGAAAACATTGCACTTGATGTCATCCGTTAGACTCGAATACACTGTACTAAAGTATCTACGATTATGGACTCACAAAGTCCCAAACACCATTCATCTTTTTTTTCATTTGACAAATTAAGCCGTAGATGATGACTGTTCTTGTCCCCCATAACCGCAGATACCAGCATTTATGGTCCTACACTGTACACATGACACCTAGCCCTAACAGAATGTTCCCTTCCAACAATATAAAAATAAGAAAGATTTTAATTAATTAAGATATTAATTGTCACTCGTAAGAACCTATATGGACAAGTTCACACTAGATCCAGGTAGAGCGAACTAAAAGTGCCTGTTTATTTTAGTTAAAATCAATATTATGGAAAGAGATATAAGAAAAAAAAAACAAGTATTAGTACCGGTGTGGCTACCCAATCTTCCCGCTTTCCTGAACCCAGTAAAAAATATCTGATTGTTATTGTACTTCTACATAAATGAATATCATTTGTAGGGAGAGAGAATGATGATAATATATCTGTCATTCTTTGCTAGTGGTTACAAAATGTTGAATTTGACCGAAAATTTCAGTCTTTCTCTGGGAAGCTGTAATTTTGCGATGTGATAGCTACACCATCACAGTTTATCATTTCATAAAAAGGGAAACAGCAGCTGCCCTTTTTAGGGCACACAGGAGAGTTGAACAGCTATACCCACCAAATCCAAGACGCGTACGTTACCCTGGGTAATATATTTTGCACAAACTAATGAAAGTCTAATGGAATGTTTTCAGTTTTAGTTTAAATCATAAGGGGGTGTTGTCTCAATACTTCAAAACTGGGTTTGAAGAATTTAATCCACATTTCATAATTAATAAAAATGGTGAATATGTGGGTCACGGTAACGTTATTGACGCGGGTACAAAAACTTTTTATAATCATGTAAATAATAACAATATTTTTGCTATTATCCATACACACTTCAATCATGAGGGGCACACCACTTTCACATGCTTTTAAAATGGAATTGACAAACACAGAGGAATAATGCACATA